TCCAAGTGAGGAGTTTAACCGAAAGCCTATAGTCCAGTGTGAGGGATCCAACAGAGCCTGCAGTTTATTTAATTTATTTATTTATGTATTTATTTATTTATTTATATTTATTCATATTTATATTTATTTATATTTATTTATTTTTATATATAAGCGTTCCAGATATGAGCAGAACCATATTTTTCTTCTTTTCCTGTCCAGAGGGATTTAAACGGGGCTTGCAGTCCAAAGAGAGGGATTTAAACAGAGCCTGCAGGCCAAAGTGAGGGATTAAAACTGAGCACGCAGTCCAATGTGAGGGATTAAACTGAGATCTTGCAGTCCAATGTGAGGAATAACGGAGCTTGCAGTCAGAGTGAAGGATTTAAACGGAGCTTGGTTAAGAGAGCCTGCAGAACAATGCGAGGGCTTTAAACTGAAGCTGGCACACCAATGCACGGGGCCAACTGAGCCTGTAGTACAATGCGAGGGGAATAAACCGTCCGCAGGTCTCATACTTACCCACAACGCCAGAAGACAGGGACAACACGACGGGACCACGCCGTACCGGCACGAGGAGGCAGGGATGCGCACGGCTCCCACCGCACCGGTCCAGACCGGCCGTATGCAGCAGCAGGCCGCGACGAGACGAGCAGCGGCGGACCCGCAGAAAGAGCCCGCAAAGGAGGAGAGCGGCAAAGACCCACGGACCACAGCACGAGACCCGCAGCAGGTGCAGCAACGCGGAGGAGGAGCGGACCACACGCAGCAAGACAGAGGACAGCAGGGACACATGCAACGAGTAAGCGTGAGTAGACAAGCGATTCTTCCAGAATGGTTCTATGCAGGCTTCGAGAAGGCCGAGAATGGGAGTTCCTCCGCTTTTAAGCAGCTTGCCTGGCTGGACCGGTGATTGGAAGGGGGCGTTTGCCGTGCGATAGGCTGGGGATGAGAACCGGCCTGGAGGGGTTACCTTTGGCTGACGTCTACCAAATTGAACTTTCGCTGGCTGCATCTAGCTAGCTGCTCTTATCAACGCGTCCATCGTTCGTTTTGACAACAAAATTTCCCATCCCTGGAGAAAACCAATGTGGCCAGCTTATTTGTTCGTGTTCAGTGTGGTTTGTTGGAGCATGTCTGAGCATGTCTGACAGTATAATCGGCCAGCCAACTCCCATGACAAAGGTTCTGCAGTGCGTTACACAAAAGTAACACAATATTTTTGTGTAATTAATTCATCTTAATTAGATCCTCGCACTGCAATTTTTTGCAGGAATTGCTTGTAACCACTCCTCCACCACCACCATGTCTGGTTGGTTCGCCATTACCAATCGGTCGGTCTGTATCTGGAAATCTCACAGGATCTTTGCATGCTCATTCTCCATCACCTTTGGAGGAGTTTCCCATCGTCACCTTGGGGTTTCCAGCCCACACTCTGCACAGATGTTCCTGTACACTAGGTTATGGTATTCCGTGTAGGCCTTCCCTGGCAGCATCTTGCACCTTGCAGTTACGTGTTGATCTGTCTCAGGTGTCTCTTTGCACAACCAACCCCTTGGGTCTCATCTGGTGTGGTATGTCTGGGCCTCTGTCGCTCTTGTGCTCAGGGCCTGCTTCTGCGCAGGTATGATGAGTGCCACTGTGTTGTCCTATAGGACAGCCCTTTTTAGCCAATGGTAGGAGTTCTTGAAATCAGCCACTTCTGCTATGTTAGTGTGGTACATTCTGTGAGACATTCACTGGGCACGTCATCCGTTTGGGCCTTTCCCTTGATATAGTTATTGTAGTATATAGTGCCGCACACTAATATGTACACAGGCCCGGCTAGAGGGCGGAGCAATACACATAGTAGTGATATGTTGAAAGGTGTTCAGTGTGTGTGTTTAACGGCTAGAGTGAACGGCCGCAGTTATGATGTCCTGATGCTGCAATAGACCTCAACGAGTCTGAAGGTAACGCCATGTGTTGTCAATAACAATATAAGAAGAACAACAAGTATTACATGGTGTCAGAAGATGGTCCAGTGAGCTATTTTGTCGCGTTTTGAAGACACCAGAGTTCAGCAAACGTTGTGAAGAACCGTTAGCGAGCTAAAGGGAGTGAGCAGGCAGCTACACTCTAAAGCGGAGAAAATATGGATCAGTTTAAATGCCATCACCGCTGGTGCTAACGGGCAATATCAGCGAAAACTGGAGAAGATGGGAACAACGCTTTCAAATATACTTGACGGCCAGTGGCACGGACGAAAAGGATGAAAAAGGTAGTTATCTTGCTCCATGCTCTCGGAGAAGACGCGCTCGAAGTGTATAACACACTTGACATTTCACAAGTCCCCGACCATAAAGTGGTTGATATTATGGGAGCACTACGATCATACTGTCAACCAAAGAAAAATACAGTGTTTGAGAGGCATCAGTTTTGGGCTCATCCTATGGCAGATTCTGTGACAATAGAAAAATATGTCACAGAATTGAGGCAGAAAAGTAAAGACTGTGAATTCGGTGCGTCAGAGAATGACATGATCAGAGACAAGATTGTGTTTAGCCTGAATGATCAACGCCTCAAAGAAAGACTTTTGAGGGAACCAGACCTCACTCTGGAGAGAGTAATTGACATTTGCAGAGCTGCGGAGACAGCTAGAGCGCAAATTCAAGCAATGACTACTGTTCTGCCCATTAAAAGCTATAGCCTTGTAAATAGTGCCCCCCTCTGGCCGCGAAGTGTCAGTTCTCGGGTGATTGTATGAGAATTCCAAGATGGCAGAACGCGACACAGAACAGTTCGCATCCTAAGTGCATTTTCCCCACAAAAAGCATGTTGCCTTTGGACAATATTTGTCTGTAAGTATTGTGTGTGTGAATATGTATTTCTGTGAGTGTTTGGAGCGTAAATTGTATTTTTTCATTAACTTTTGTTTGAGTTGAGAGCAGAGTTGCTTGTTAGCATGTTATTAGCCTGTAATAACGGAGAGCTGGACGTTACCTCGTAGCTAACGCGACATTTGTTTGTATTACAGTTTTACGGTTGGTCTAAGAGGACAATGGTTGAGGCCATTCTTCAATAAATCAAAGAACAAGAATGAAGTCTGTTTATTGGAGCACCGTTATCTAGCAGTCTAGCCTTGCAAAGACAGTAGCTTGGGGCGAGGACAGCAAAACTACAACAACACAAGAGAAAGTAGTACATGCAATGCATAAGACAAAGTACAAAGACAGTCCCCAGTGGCAAAAGGGACGCAAACAACAGCCACCGAGTGAAAACAAGAAAAGTAAAATGTGCAGAAAATGTGGGAAAATCTCATCAACCAAGGCAATGCCCGGCATTTGGGGTATCCTGTCGGAAATGTGGTAAGCTCAATCACTATGCAAAGCTGTGCGAGTCCACCCATGCAACACACAGAACAGTGCATGATATACGTCCTGAGATAGACACTCTTTTCATAGGAACAATGAACATTGACAACATAAGCACAAAAATGGACAATTCCTGGTCACAGGAATTGTCACAGGACACAGGTGCTGAGACCAATGTGTTACCTCAAGTTGTGTCCAAAACACTCAAGAGGAAAGTCAGACGTGATAAAAGACAATGGGCCTCATTCACGAACGGTTCTTAGGAACAGATTTGTACGTAAATCCTACTTACAAGGTTTTTACGAAGAAAGTGGCATTCACGAATTTTTTTCGTAACCAGAATTTCTCTTGGGTAAGTACAAATCCTACGAGTCCTCAGGAGCACTCGTACGCATTCAGTGCCGACATGTTTGCACGCTGGTGTTAAGAAGTTCAATAAAACACAACATTACAGTGATATGTTTGTCATATTGATGTATGTATTTATTTATTTGTAGTAATCTTTATTTATATACCGCCTTTTTCACTGCAGAGCTGGCCTATTTTTTTATTCATTTTGAAATGAAATGTGCCAACGCTTTATCAAATACATTGGAAATCTTGCCGTGCATTAGTGACCCCTTCCTATTTATAGGGGGCATTTCTTTATCCACGGGTCACAGAACAACGGCATATATACTTCTGCTGCAGGAGGTTACGGGGTCCGCGCTGAGTCTCTGCGCTGGTCTCTCCTATGGATCTATACGGGTCTGCACTGGTCTCTATGGATCTATACGGGTCTGCGCTGGTCTCTCCGATGGATCTAAACGGGTCTGCACTGATCTCTCCATACGGGTCCGTGCTGCATGCTCCTGGATCCATACGGGTCCGCGCTGGTCTCTCAAGTCTGGTCTATGCGGTCTCTCTTCGGTCCGCGCTGGTCTCTGCGCACCGGTCTCTCCAGTCAGGTCACTCCAGTCTATGCGGTCTCTCCTATAGGTCCGCGCTGGTTTCTGTGTGCTGGTCACTCCAGTCTCTCCTCGGGTCTGCATTGGTCTCAGCGCTGGTCCGCGCTGGATCTCCTCCCAGGGTCCAAAATATTTTGAGATGAATCCCAAAACATTTTGAGATTCATCTTTAAAATAATACATAATATATTTTTAAATTAAGCTCATAACATTTTGATATTAATCTCATCATATTCTTAGATTAATCTCATAATTTTGCTAGTTCGACTTTATTATCATAATATTTCGACTTTTAAGTCAACATTTTATAACTTTATTCTCAGTCTGGCAAAAGAAGAAAAAAGGGTGACTTTTGCTTCGTGTAACTCTTTGCTTTAGGCCTGTTGCTGTTTCCTCTGCCGTCTGCACACGGCCCTGCAGTCCCTTATATGGGCATTAATGGGCGGTTACTTATGCTAAGTACCTATGCTAATGAAGCACCTGGCACGCGCGCTCTTCTTACGAGGAAATGGGATTCATCAATCTAAGAGAACAGCTGCGAACAATTCAGCGGCTTACGAGTGCGTTGATGAATCCCACGTAGGGACTTCTTAGAAATCTACTTAAGGACAACTTGAAAAGAAATTTGAGAAGTTTCTTACGAAGTTATTCGTGAATGAGGCCCATTGATCCTACTGTGACTCCAGTGATACATGGCTGTAGAAAAATACCACTAGCAGGTATGGACAGATTAAGAGACACTCTCGATGACCTGCTGAAAACGGACGTTATTAAACCAGTGAAAGAGCCTACAACATGGGTGAACAGTTTAGTCATAACTGAGAAGAAAGACAAAAATAAGTTAAGGGTGTGTCTGGACCCTACAGATCTGAACAAAGCCATTTTGAGGCAACACTACTCAATTCCGACTGCAGATGAAGTCTTGTGCAAATTGTCAGAAAAGAAGATCTTCTCAGTGCTTGATGAAAAGGACGGCTACTGGCAGATCAAGCTGGATAAAGAGTCATCACTTCTGTGCACCTTCAACACACCGTGGGGGCGCTATCGATTTAAACGGCTCCCGTTTGGAATCAAGTCGGCGAGTGAAGTGTTCCAGCAGCGCAACTGTGAAATGTTTGGGGACATTGCTGGTGTTCACATTATAGCTGATGACATGATTATTGCTGCTTCCACAGAACAGGAGCATGACGAGATACTGCACAATGTGATGACCAGAGCAAAAGAAGCTAATGTCAAATTTAACAAAGACAAACTCCAATACAAGGTGAGCAGTGTTAAATACATGGGACATGTCATTACAGCAGAAGGTGTTAAAGTAGACCAAACAAAAGTGAAGGCGATTGTTGACATACCTTCACCCGCAGACAAGCCTGCATTACAAAGAGTGCTGGGTATGATAAAATATCTCTCACAGTACATCCCAGGCGAGGCCCATCAGACATACAGTGTCAGTGAAGGAAGGAATAATGTTTGCAGGAGACAGAATTATTCTTCCGAGCAAAATGAGAGCAAACATGTTGCAAAAACTACATGTAGCCCACCAGGGCATGCAACGCACCAAAGCTCTGGCCAAAGTCCACTGGTACTGGCCAGGAATGACAAGAGACATTGAAAGAATGGTTGAGTCATGTGCAACCTGTCAGCAGTTCCAACCCAGCCACCAGAGGGAACCAATGATCAGTCATGAGATCCCAGAGCTTCCTTGGCTTAAAGTGGGAGCTGACATATTTGAGATAAGTGGCCAATCATTCATTTTGATAGTAGACTATTTCTCCAAGTACCCTGAAGTGTTGAACATCAAAGACAAGACAGCTAACACAGTTATCAGTAAAATGAAGTCTGTATTTTCCAGAGTTGGAATACCAAAAGAAATAGTCTGTGATCATATGCCATTTGCAAGCCAGGAGATGAGAACATTTGCGATGGCGTGGGGCATTAAAATGACTCATTCTAGCCCTGGTTATGCTCAGTCAAATGGCCTTGCAGAAAGATTTGTTGAAGAAGGCCAAGCTCACTAACTCTGACCCATTTCTCGCACTATTAACGTTGAGAAACACACGCCTATAACAGGTATGGACTATTCTCCGGCACAAATGCTGATGGGTAGAGTACTAACGTATAAAAAAAATGACGTGTTCAAAATCCCTTATAAAGATGACCATGATTCAGAAAGTTAAATTCAAAAAGGTTTATTTCCCTAATACAGAAAGAATCTAAAACAGCTGTTCGGACCAAAAGTAACTATCCCTTATTCTCTATATAAAGTATAAAAGTATAACTCTGAGTATAGTATAGTATAACTCTGTGACCTGACTCCACATCAGGTCACACACTGTCCCTGGTCCGGTAAAAAACTAACTAAAAACATTCAAGCTATTCATTAAGTAAATGTGCAGGAAGAAGGGGGCGTGTCGTATCAGGCAGGTCTTGGGTCCAGGGTCCGGCCTCTTCCATCATGTCCCCTCTGTCTCGCCGGACCTGAACAGAAATCATTCACGCACTACCCCTCCCTAATTCTATAGAAATATTACTTCCTTGAGATAAGGCCGGTGGCTCTCTGGGTCCCCCTCCTTCTTCAAACAACTGGAAGGATTAGCAGAATCCCCCCAGATTACCTATCATTAACTCACCCATGCACTTTGGACAAAAATGGGACCAGGGGAGAAGAGCAATACAAGGTCTTTTTTTTTTTGCTTGGAAAAATACAGAGTTCAATTCCGGGTCAATCAAATTCACATCGGCTTTTAGTCTATATTTAATACAACAGTTTCCCTCTCTTGGCCGCTCTTAAAAAGGCCACACCTTTCAATAACCTTCCTCGGGCGACGGGACGGGGGAATCCTCAACCAATGCAAGCATTTGACCTCTCAGTCCAGGGTTAACAGCAGTGTCTATAGCTTTAACACAAAGAGAACGTATACAAGGTATACAGCAACATCCTACAACCATTATTATTGCAAAGATGGCCGCAAGGCTTGTGATAACAGACAAAATTACATGCTTCCACCTCCCCAAGATGCTGTCCAGCCACGCCTCCAGTGGGTTCTCCGGGACTCCAGAAACGTCATGCATTTGCTCTGACAGCATTTTGAGACCAGCCAGAGCCCTGGAAACTGATCCATCTGGATGTGTGTTATTTGGAATGTATACACAACATTCTGTACCAAATAAACTGCAGACCCCCCCTCTCTCTGCTAATAGCATGTCTAGAGCCACTCTGTTTTGAAATGCTACCAGAGAGGTGGCCCCAAGCTGCTCCGCCAATCCCTCTATTGCGTCCCTGGTGTGATTGGCAAGCCTGAGCATAGTATACCAAATGAAATTAATTCTATCTACATTTTTGTTTGGCGTAATAGGGAAAATAGCTGAAATTATTGGAATATTTTCGAAACCTGTTGCAATTTGATCTACCAGTTTGAATTCATGAGGGACTCCACGTGGAACACCTATAGAGTCCATGTAAGTTGGATTATCTTTCCCAGTATCTAGGAATGGGATTGCCCTTTTAAATCTATGCTGTGGGTGGGGACTGTCTAGGGATGGCTTATGGCCAATTATGGAAATGGGCATCATTAATCGCACCATTGCACAACCACCGGTACAATTTTTTATTAGTCTATGTCTAAGTTTTAAATCTCCACACAACCAATACAAATCACCTCTGGTCCGGGTCATGTGGACCGGACTGGGCAGGGTGACGTTGTTGACACACCAGTCTGCTGGAAGGAACCCCCACTGGAGACGCGGCCTCGTCCCTCCATTGAGTGAGTGGAAACAGGTGTAATTGCTTTTCCTGTGGGAAAACATAGGAGGCTGAATTTCTGAATCCAATTCTGGGAACAATACTTCAAACATTGAACATTTACTAGGGGCTGTCTTTGTCTCCTCAGTCAGGTCTTTTTCTTGCCAAAACAACTTTATCATACAATTATAACCATCTACATCTTCTGGGAAAAGTGGAGCAGGGGCTGTATACAAAGTGGGACGTGCAGTAGAGCACACAACACAATCGTCAAAGCCAGCAGCCGCTGACATGTGTTCCACAGTCCACAACCAAGCGTTTCTATCCCCATATCCAGTTGCTTGTTTTAACAATTCAGAAACAGTCCAGTCAGCCGTCACCTGTACGTTCTGTTTGTCTTGCCATACTTCACTATCTATGGCCTCCTTGTCTAGCTCCTTGTCCTCGGGTATGGCAATTGAAATCCATTGTCTAATGTCTCCTGGATAATGTCCAATAACGTAAGTCCCATTCACATCAATCCCACAATTTTTCACAGTGACTAGCACCGTTGTTTGTGAGTGGTCTGTTGTCAGAATCACTCGTCCCTTAAGTCTGTGTTCCTTATTATAACCCCAATCCGGACCTGTATTGGATATAACATACTCCCAAGCATCACAGGTGCAGTCCACCGATGCTCTAAAGCTTTTTCCATGCCTCTCATATTTACATGTAGACGGAGTGTAACACAGGTAGAGTGTGTAGTCAGGTCGAAAGGATAATGGAAAGATTGTTGCCATTGGTATGTGGGCTGTAATTGTCGCACCCACCGGGCATTTTACTGTCACAATCGTAGGTAGAGAGTCTCTAACGCTGTCTTCTCCTATGGATCTTTTATTTCTGTCAGTCTTATTGGACCAAAGACTGGATTGTGTTACAAGTCTGGCCCTGTCTCTTAGCTGTGTGTTTTCTAACACTTCCCATGTTAAAATTCCCAGGACCACGACCAAACCAACTGCAGCGATAGCCCATAGGATGGCTCTCCCTCTCTTGGTCGTGGGCCAGGGCTCCCTGTCCCAAGGCAACATATTAAGAGGGAGTGTAAGCGTGTGTGTGAGTCCCTGTCCAACCCGTGAGCGTGGTTACGAGGGTGGGTCAGATGGTCTCGTATGAGAGAGATGAAACCACTTGTTCCCGTGTCCCTTCAGTTGAACAGCTTTGCGAGTGCGGGCCACCACTTCAAAGGGTCCGGTCCAGCGGGGCTCGTTCCACTTCCTTTTGAACACCTTCACACGGACCCAGGCTGGTGGATCCTCCGAGGCCTCCTTCTCGCAGAGGTCGAGACTTCCTTCAACCTGATGGGAAAAACTAGACAACATTTCTCTCAATTGTTCCCAGTACACCCGCACTGGGGGTGTTGGGGAGTCGTCTTTTGTGAAAGGCACCACCCTGTTTCCTGGTCCTGGCATAGGCCTCCCTGTTAACAGCTCATATGGGGAGAAATGGTGAATGCGGTTAACAGAGTGCCTTGCTGACAACAGGGCAATAGGCAATGCCTGTAGCCAATTCAATTTACTCGTTGCCAGGATTTTAGAGAGTTTACTTTTCAGGGTCTGATTCATCCTTTCAACTCGGCCCTGGGATTGAGGATGGTAGACTGTTCCAAATTTATGTTTTAGCCCCAGATGTTTTTCTACCAATTGCAAGTGTTTGTTCCTGAAATGCGTCCCATTGTCAGACCTTATTAACTGGGGAAAGCCATGCGTTGGGATGTAATGTTGAATTAAGGCTTTGATTACGGAGGCAGCATCCTCCTTTGCAGCAGGATATGCCTCAGGCCATCCCGTAAAGGTGTCAGTGATGACCAACAGGTACCGCTTTCCTGCGCACCTGTTAATCATATCTGTGAAGTCCATCACAACATGTGCTCCAGGCCAAGCAGCAGGTGTGAATTTTCCTGGGGAAACAGCTGAGCAGGGTGATGGGTTATAATTTTGACATATTTGACAGGACCTAGTATAATCTTGGATCATGTTTGTCTTAAAGGGATGCCACCATTGTGACATATTCCTGAGCATCTGTACCTGACCCACATGGGCTAGCCCATGTGCCTCAGATAAAGCCGCTCGTGAGAGGTCCCCCACGGGCAGGGCGGGGCGGCCATCAGGGCCGTACCAGATGCCAGTATCTGGATCCTTCTTTGCCCGTTTTTGAACCCACATGGATATTTCTTCAGGAGCTGCTTTTGTTTGGGCTTCAGCTAAAACCTGAAGGGATAGATCGGGCAGGCAGTCTGCCAGGTCTGGCCCCTCGTCCCGAACCACAAACACTCCTGGAGTACTGACCTTGTAGTTGGCAGCTTTCTTTGCGGCCTCATCCGCCGCCTCGTTTCCCCTGGCCTCAAAGTTGTCTGACTTGGAGTGCCCTTGGCACTTGATGACGCTTACCTGTTTTGGAAGCTGGAGAGCGCTGTCCAGCCTCTCCACCAGGGCTCTATGTGTGATGGGTCGGCCTTTAGCAGTCAAGAAGCCGTTTCTTTTCCACTCGGAGAGGTTGAAATGGACAGCCTGAGTAGCATACGCAGAGTCGGAGTAAATATTTACAGATTTACCTTTAGCAAACTCCAAGGCGGCGCAGAGAGCCTCTAGTTCTGCCGCCTGCGCTGATGGTTTGTCA